AAATGCTGTTTCATCGTATACGATCATTATACACATATATAAGTGCGTCTTTCAACTCCCCGCTTACCAGCGTTCTCCGGTTTGGCATGCCCTACCGCCCTACTTCGCTTTGATAACGCGAGCCTCTCGTTTTCATTCGAAAAAAATAAAAATGAGAAGTACTGCTACATTTGAAGGTCGTTCTGACGGCGTCACGCCGACAGGTTGTGGATGAATCTTCGCAGATCGCGATAACGCCATACAATAAATTTATTGTCACTTGATAATGAAAGCCACCATTTATTAAGCGCTGCCAGACGCTATCGACTCTGTACCATATTGATGCTCGAAGTATAATCACGCAAAGGACTAAGGTGTGAGCGCACGCGCTGACGCAGTACGACGCCTTCAGCACGAGCGCATGCACGCGCACGCGCCACGATCCGAAACACGCACATATACTCGCAAGCGGACATACACACACGCCACAACCCCATCCCTCCTACACGACGCACCACGCGCGCGTGCACACCTACACACACACGAACACTCACACTCACATCACACTCGCGCCGCGCACATACACACACGCACAACCCCATCCCTCCTACACAGACGCACACGCGCGCGTGCACACCTACACAACACACGAACACTCACACTCACATACACTCGCGCGGCGCACATACACGCAAGCACAACCCCATCCCCTTACACAGGACGCACACCGCGCGCGTCACACCTACACACACACGAAACACTCACACTCACATACACTCGCCGCGCGCACAATACACACACGCACAACCCACCCCTCCTACACAGACGCAACACGCGCGCGTGCAACACCTACACACACCACGAACACTCACACAATCACACACTCGCGCGCGACATACACGCAAGCACAACCCCATCCCTCCTACACAGACGCACACGCCGCGCGTGCACACCTACCACACACACGAACACTCACACTCACCATACACTCGCTCGCGCGCACATACACGCAAGCACAACCCCATCCCCTTACACAGACGCACACGCGCGCGCGTGCCACACCCTACACACACACGAACACTCACACTCACATACACTCGCGCGCGCACATACACGCAAGCCACAACCCCATCCCTCCTACACAGACGCACACGCGCGCGTGCACACCTACACACACACGAACACTCACACTCACATACACTCGCGCGCGCACATTACACACACGCACAACCCCATCCCTCCTACACAGCACGCACACGCGCGCGTGCACACCTACACCACACACGAACACTCACACTCACATACACTCGCGCGCGCACATAAACACGCAAGCACAACCCCATCCCCTTACACAGACGCACACGCGCGCGTGCACACCTACACACACACGAACACTCCACACTCACATACACTCGCGCGCGCCACATACACACAACACAACCCCATCCCCTTAGACACGACACCATCCAACTTAGACACAACACCCCCCACAACCCCATCCCACAACCCCCCCCCACAACCCCATCCCGACCCCCCACAACCCCATTCCCCTTAGACACAAGCACAACCCCCATCCCTTACACAGACGCACACGCGCCGCCCACACCCACACACACGAACACGAACACTCACATACACTAGCGCACACGCAGAAACGTGCGCACAATACATACGCGGGGCGCACTTCACGTCACGCACACGCACGCACACACACACACACACACACACACACACACACACACACACACACACACACACACGACACACACACATACACACACACACACACACACACGCACGCACGCACGCACGCACACAGGTTGTGCAGACCTACCGTTATTCTGTAGGCGAACGTGAGGCACTGCTCACTGCCGCTGATGCTGACTACAGGAGAGTTGACCAGCTCAAACAGCGACGCTCGACACTCGCTCGATTCGTGGTCCAGGTTTAGGAAATGACCTTTAAATAAAGACGACAACTTGTATTAGTATCAATGTCAGAACCCCGAAGCGCGATTTTGTTACATAATGTTCGTACTGATATTCTGAACTTATTTATTTTTTATTTCTAATACAAGTAAACTTACGCATGCCGATTTACTGCACACGTTGTGCGAGCCACATCCATGCAAATCTAATTGAGTTCATAATTTGTTAGTTTAGTGAGTCAGATATGATCAATCACATGCCTATTATTATAGCTTTGCGTACAGATGAATTATATCTTTATACTAGAGTTACTTTTGCATTTACCTTCACTCCAATTTTAAAACTGGCCCACCCGGTTCTAAGACGTGTAACAATTTTCCTTATAATCGTTTAATTGTCGGTATATTGCAAGACGGCGTGTCGTGTGCAAACAATTATGCTAATTTTATATTGTTACTTTCTACATAACATCAGCGAAAATCAATTTTATTGCTAGGTAAATGTTTAACTTGTTCTGCTAGATATTTCAGGTTATTCGAAACCGGCTTAATATTTATTTAGCAATGAGTGGATCTAACCTGTAGAGTGTAGACAAGTACGACTTGGATGTCGCCAGATTATTTACAAAATGTGTTGTAACTAGATCGGAAATAATAGCATATATATATATATCTAATTTGAATAACGTCTTCTAAGATATATCGTTGCATATACGCGACGATAGAACCGGAGTGGTCTAATCCTTTTCATTCGACACCTGTCGACAATCGCAATCGGTAATTTCAACAATTACATATTATCGGAGCAAAGTCAAATTATAAACCAATTTGCGCATTGAATCCCCAAATTGATAGCAACAATTCGCCAACATAGAGATGCTATCGCAGCGTCTGGAAGTCTCTGTCACGCTATGCCCAATCAAATCGCACCGAGTTCTACAAATTGCGAAGATGAATGGAATCTAAGAAAAAGTTCGCTCGCTGCTCGAACTACCACTTTCAAGTGTTTCGAGTTCACTGGCACTTGCACCGCGCTATCTTACATGTTCATTCTAGACATCGAGTAATAACTTCGGTATCCCGTCTCACAGCTACCGTGAAGGTCACTGACTCCCCGGATGGAGCTCTCTCACGGGGTTGTCATAGATAATCCCGCAGCCCGTACATTGTGTCACCGGCACGCATGTCGCGCAGCCAGTATGGCTCATTATCGGCTGTAAGCGTGTGAGAATGGCCAGGCCACTTCTCTCTCATCGCTCCCCCGCTCGTTATTTCAGCATAACCGTTACTTACATACTCTCAGCTGGTGTCTGTTGACGAGAGAAAGACGAGGGCGGGAATCCAAAGAGGATGTGAGGTAGATAAAAGCCTTCACCTCAACCTCTGTACACCCCCAATTATCTACCTTTCGATAAACATGTGGGCAATACGTGAACATAGTTAGATTTTAGTACAGTTTAACACTTTTCAGTGTGCACGATGAGGATAGCAACATACGGCAATACTGGCAGAACGCATCAGAATCTATAAGGCATGCAGAGCACCACTTTAATGCATCTTAGCTTGAAAATTCTCACGGTGGTCTACAGCGTCCGTTCTAAAACCAACAAATGCTTTGTTGTGCGCCTGTCCCTACCACTAAAACCATTATGCTAGACAGGACCCTGCTTTTATGTTACCGACGAATACTCAGGTGCTAGGTTGTTATACCAATGCCGCTGTCTGTGTGGCATATCTTTGCTTCTGGTTCACGTACGCGTGATCTACATATAGCGCTAATTAACGTTCCTAATTGAGTTTCTTTATTATTTTCTTATATGCTTGTATCTCGTTTCCTATCGAGAAACTTATATCAACTATTTGGTGAATTACAAGAGAAGCCTTATTCTTCAATTATAAAAAAATATAATGAAAAAATTAAATATATTCATTGAATGATTTTCACAGTCGTGTCTTTTCATGTGCTATAATGCACCTTTATGGTTCACCTGAGGCTGTACTGTCTATTTGCACTCTCGTTTTCGTTTTCCCATTTCTCATTCCGCCTTCGTTGCTCTTGTGTGTGTGTGCTCTGTGACCTCTATGTTCCCGCGTCCGTGTTTTTATGTCCCGACTTAAGTTTGTTAAGGCCCAGTGATAACAGCTATCGAATATCAGCATCCCCAACTTCTTTTGATGCGCGCGGACTTTGCGCGTTCGTGCCAAACAGTATGCAAACAGAGCAATATTGGTCCAATCGCGTCTTCCTGTTGCTACTATCACATCGGCTGCAGCTTGACCGGCTACGCTACGGCCCTCAAGCTGCCCTCACATCGCACGCTTGACGTGGCTGTAGAGTGGAGCAGTCTTCTGGCGGCGACCGCACTACGCGGGGTGAACCACCTCAGCTGCAAACACTGGCGAATAAGTGGCCGGCTGGTTTTCGGCAAAGAAACCGAGCGACTATGCGCGACAGCCAACAGTCAGTGCGTGCGGAGGTGCGGAGGTATGACCGCCCTCGGTATTGTTCACCACCCCCACCCCCCACCCCCGGGGGTCGCCGCTGTTTGCTGCTGGTATTCATCCGGGGGCAATCCTGAGAGAGACACCCGTCCGCGGGGGCGTCAGGCGCGCACGCGAGGTACGATCGTAGAGGAAAAAAATCGCTGCCGAAATGAGACGTGTTCACGTGACGACAGTAGTTAGTGGTGGGCGCGGGCTGGTCATCAACACTTGGTACGAGCGAAAGTTAACAGCCAGCAGGAATTCATTTCCGCGCGTGCTGATTGGTTCTAATTGCATTCGGCCCAACCTGCGCACAGTGCAGCCTTTATATTAGACGAACGAATGATCGATGTTAATCACTGATATCTGAACTGCACGTCCTGTGTAGAAACCCCATGTTGGGCGCATGTTAAGATTGTGAGCAGAGATACGCGCGCGTTCGTGCGTGCGTGCGTGCGTGCTTGATAGCGTGTGTGCAAGCGTTGGCGTTGGCGTTGGCGTGCGTGCATGCATATGCAAGTGCGTGTACGACAGCGTGTTCGTATACGGGTACGTGTGTGTGTGTGTGTGTGTGTGTGTGTGTGTGTGTGTGTGTGTGTGTGTGTGTGAGTGTGGTGTGAGGGGGGGGGGGGGGGTGGTGTGTGCGAAGAGAGGTGGCGTGTTTAATGTGCAGGTGATACGCGTGCGATACAGCGCATGTATGAGTGTGTGTGTGCGTGTGCGTGTGTAGTCGCTGTGCGTGCGCGCGCGCATTGGAGTGTGTTGGCATTCCGATACTCATCGCCTATCATGTGGCAAGTATGGCATGCACCTGTGCAGTGTTCTACGTGTGCGTACGCATGTGCGCATAGGCGGCGCGTGTAATTCCCATACACATAAAGCGGAGGATTTGCTGATGGAGCATATCAATACTAAATGCGCGTATATGTTCATCTATTGCAGAAGATATATCGCGCCACAGGGGTTTATGGTTATAGAGACAAAATCCAAGTAGTTCCATGTTTCGCTGATCAACCGATGAACGTTCTTGGCTGGCTTTACGCGCGTGCATAGCTCCCGTTCAAAATAGAAATCCAATTTCATAATTAGCCGTCAATCGATCACTACGTAATTGCGAACGCGCTACCGTGTGACGAAATATAGCAATGCATACAATCTCTCTCAACGGCCCGAGGAAAAACTAATAGATAGCCTTGGTGAGTTTATTGTGTCGACGGTCTCTTTTCCGTTCCGACGATGCGGCTATACTGGTTACTTCAGCGGGCGCATGTCGGCATGTATGTGGTGTGATGTGTGAGTGTGTGTGGTGTGTGTGGGTGTGTGATGGTGTGTGTGTGTTGTGTAATGTGTGTCGTGTGGTGGTGTGGTGCGTGCGTGTGTGTGGCGTGCGTGTGTGTACTGTGTGTGTGTGCGGTGCGGTTGTTGCGTGTGCGTGTGCGTGTGCGTGTGTGTGGTTGCGTGTGTGTGTGTTGTGTTGTGCTGCGTGCGTTGCGTGCGTAAGCGGCGCTGCGTGCTCGTGTGTGTGTGTGTGTGTGTGTGTGTGTGTGTATCCCATTATAGCGGTATGTCGCGCGCAAATCACCCGCTTTCACTTTTCGCAGCTTTTCACTTTCCTCTCGTTCGTCCGCTGCTCTCGCCCGCTTTCCGCCCGCAATTCAACGGCTGACGCACGTGATCGGAATGTGCAGCAAAACGCACCAACGCTCGTGCGGCGGCAGAGTTTTATGGATTTATTTACGGCCGCTCATCGAACATAATAGCACGGTTCAAAGGCCCCTTAGAATATCATCCGACAGTTCTGTAACTCGGTAGCGTGCGAGCGATGCGCGCGGGGGAGGGGCGGCGGGTAGGGGGGTGGCACCACAGGCGGGCCTTTGTCTGCGGTCATCAAACGCCGCCACGGAGTGTGACAAGATTATGGCACGTTTCCGTTATACTCGAGCCGTCTGCGCGATCGCTCCTGAGGTTTACACGGTCGTCGATGCGGCCGCTGCGCGCACAGGCACTTGGGACAGAGTCAGTAAAAACTGAAAACAATATGAACGCACATTCACAAATACTACCGTACCTCTCAATTACAGTTCCACTGTTGTGTCACTGTATACACAGGCCCTTGGAGGCTCAAGATTCAAACGAGTATAAGACTATATTAAGAGCGAAGCGACCGCTTCGCTTCGCTCGCTTCGCCACTTCGAGCAGCTTCGCTCGCTTCGCTTCGCTCGAGTCTTATACTCTTTTGAATCTTGAGCCTCCTCTCGTGTATATCTACTTTCCTTCATAAAAACTAACGCCGAACGCTCCCGCACTCGCCGCTGCGAGTGTGCTGTGTCGCCAATTATAATGAAATAATATATAAAGTTATTATTATAGATAATTAATATATATTATTATATTATAATATTTATATATATTATCATTATGATTATAATGGCGGACATGAGCACACCTCGCAAGCAGCGAGTGCGTGAGCCGGTCGCGTTAGTTTGTATGAAGGAAAGTTGATATACAGTGACACAACAGTGGAACTGTAATGAGCAGGTACGGTTAGTATTCGTGAATGTGCGTTCATATTAAGGATACTGCTCAACTTTTGCACGCGCGGTATTGCTCAATGAAGATTAAACGTTTATTGACGAATTGAATCGAATCAATCACTTGTTTTATTTATAGCAGGAGATACTAGCTCTATGCTCACAGGCAAAAACTTTCATGAAAATATTCCAGCACCTATTATGTTACCACAAAAATTTGTATTTTTATGTAAAAAATGGTATTTTGGATATTTCTTCAATACCAGAAAGAGTGAGGATTACAAAATTTTTCGCACATGTTAAGCACCAATATGTACCAAACAGCGCATCAGGATTTTCTTTAAGTTTCATATTTACGAGCAAATTTAAAAACTGCCTAAAAATTTCAAGTCGCCACGTTTGAATTTAAAATTTTGCGATTAAAGAGACATAACTCATTAAAATACGGCCACTACACACATCCCTGGACGCGCCTTTTTTACAGCAATATGCTTACCATTACAAACGAGGCCTGTTAAAAAGTTAAACTATTCCGAGTTGTTAATCAGCAGAGAAATACTCTATTTATACAATCGACTACTAAGTCAGAAATTGGAACTGGAGAAATCAGCGTCTTTTCTGACGTCAGCCGCGGCTTCAAAACTACAGCATGTACGCGGCACAGCAAACGCTCTGACAGTTCACATGCCCTACCGTATATATGCGAGGAAATTAATGGCACGATAGTGTTTAGCACTCGATAAAGTTGAAAAATGAATAAAATCGTAAGATTTTCCTTAAAACCTTGAGAGTATCCTCAATTATATTTTCAGTTTTTACTGACTCTGTCCCACAGTGCCTGTGGCCTGCCGCAGTACGCGGGGGTTGTGCTGACTGATTCGCCACCGACAGCAGCAGCCATTAAGCCGCTCCTATCGCGCAAAATTAAGCTCTCTTCAACGCGCATGTGGGCTATCCCCCGCTGCCGGTAAGCGGCTATATGTCGTAGATACACGCTATATTGCCGCATTGTCTCGGGTGTTTCGCTGCGCCAACTCGTTCGCCGATGCCGCTCGATGACAGCTGTCATGCGTGCGACGTTGAACTGGTCGGTCTACGCTGCAGTTCTATATTTATTCGGTTTCTGGTGGCGTGTTCTGTAATCTCCCGCTGTCGACAGGATCGCTAACTCGTCCGCTAGTTATATCACACTAAGCAATGCTTCTGTTATAGTCTGGGTTGAAGTATGGGCAGGCGCTTATATATATATATAATAATTAATATATATATATACTGATAGATTCTGCAGGTGTGATACAATCGAAGGGTCGTCCGCGAATGTTATAGATTACGTAATTTAAAACGCGGGAACGTCTAGCTTTTTAGTATGCGCGCGCATGCTCGTTCTCGATTCACGCTTGCTGACCTGGCAGTGCGCTGGGTGAATGGTGAAAGTACGGGGGACGTCGACTCGTTTATTGAAAAGCTACAACACAATAGATAACGTTGCCCGCGTAGAAACAATCTCACCGACATTGCTCTGAATTCACCGACGTCATCTCTTACGAACTGCTACAGCATTGTAGCCCCACACAGAAATGCAGTGCGCCGCTGTGACCTGATTTTGAATCTTTAAGATTCGGCAGGGTTATGCATAAAGACAGCCCGCTAAGATGTGTTTCATCAGCCATTAACACCAACGCATTGTTGTTCTACATAATCGGAATAATCGCTCTTGGTATTCATATGTGTGTAGACAAACGGTTTTCATATTCATCGAAAATGACAATTTTGTCTGAATCTCCTTTGGCATAAAATGCAACCTCGTGCACAAAACAGCAGTAGCTAATTTGAGCACTGCGCGCACTAGCACTACATCGTCCTGATTAGATTGGACGACAACATTTAGTTTGTTACTCATTCCCAACACCACAACCATCACTGACGCTGAGAGGGTCTATGTCCCCCGGCATTTACTGCGGAAACGTACCTGCGTACTCATCTATATGCCGGACCGTACCTCGCCCTACCTCCACGAAGCGCAGTCTTAGCGGAGTCGCCTACGCCTACCTCACTAACCCGAATCAACCGGAACCGCTAACCCTAACCCTAACACCTAATCCTACCCTACACCATATTCAAATATGCGACCAGCGTACGTTCGGTATACCGCGACCATTACCCAGGCGGTACGTTCCGCAGTTACCCTGGGGACATAGACCCTATGAGCATCACTGACGCACACACGCGCGCACACACAAACACACACACACACACACACACACTCACACACGCGCGCGCGTGCGTACAAACAACTGCGTGCCGGAGCCGACCTACCTTCACTGTTGGGAGTCGAGTTGTCCTTGCAGTCTGCCTGACCATCGCATCCACTGACCATCCAGCATCGGTAGAAGGTGCCATTGTCAAAGTCACAATCGCCGTCCTCGAAATCACACGAGTACGCTAGAAGAACAACAGGCGCGCATTTATATATGAAATTACAATACACCCCCTCCTCCATTAAATCGGAAACAGTTCATGGTCTTTACAAAGCAATTCGGAGTTTCGTCGTGCCCTATCGAAACCATTCACAGCACAGAACACGATACGAAATGAAAATGATGGGAATAGAGAAACGACGACAAATGTTTCGATGTTTCACTAGAGAAGAAACGAAAATGAAAAACGAGAAGAAATTTGAACTGAATAAAGCCTTACCTATGTGATCAGGTAGGCCGTCGATGACTGCTGTGTCCTTTCCGTTGACAGCTTTGTCACCATCTGTGTGCGAGGGCTGGTTGACATCATTTCCGATTGCTGATCCAAGCGTATTCAAATTTCCTACCGAAATATTATTAGCTGCTACGAAATCATTTCCTATAACAGTTGGATCGTCCGCAGGTGCATCAGTGCCTGCTGCAGTAGTTGGTGCATTAGTGGCTGCTGCAGTAGTTGGTGCATCAGTCGCTGCTGCTGCAGTTGGGGCGTCAGTGCCTGCTGCAGCAGTTGGTGCATCAGTGTCTGCTGCTGCAGTTGCTGCATCAGTGGCTGCTGCAGTAGTTGCTGCATCAGTGGCTGCTGCTGTAGTTGCTGCATCAGT